GAATTTTTATCTGGGTTGCACAGAGATAGCAAGGATTGTACGAATGGAGATTGAAGATCAAAATGGGTCAATAACTTGTATTAACATGGATTCGCCATCTTTATCTGACTGTGTTCAACATCCAGCCAGAATCGATTAGTGATACATGTTATGTAACGTAGTTTTGAGCGTGCGCGCTCGCATCTCCTTCACAACGAAAATTCGACGTCAGGCGTTGCAGTCTCCATTGGGCCGCGAAGCGTCAGTCCTGCGGCTGACTTTAGGATGTAACCAATAGGTGGACAAAAATGGTGACGCACCTGAGAGAAGTATCTTAGAACGCTTTAGGACACCAAATCTTACATTCAGAGATAGTCCGGGTGTCTATTTCACCCGTGCAGTTTTTAGATTGACGGCAATAACGTACTGGTCTTTACAGCACCGCTAAGTGGTGCTGGAATCCAGTGGTGGAACTGGAAGAGTAAAGGTAAGTCTCTATTTTCCGTGTTCCCGTAACTGTTAATCTGCCCAGAGAACATCCTCAAAACATAGCAAAAGATTTACCCGGTGTATTTTTGATACTGCACAACTTCATTTTAAAAGACATTCCGAAGCATTATTTGACGATGATCATTGTTGCGCGCTCAACGCCCGCCCCCTGGCGTTATTTGCAGCAGCCAACGCCGTTCAGTTTTACGATAACTGCAACTCAAACCATCGTTGCAACTCAAGCCAAGCCATCATCTGATAACTGCAACTCAAGCCAAGCCATCTGTTTAAGGGGCCTCCTTAAGAACAACACTCTTCTGCCCATAGGGATGAGTCTTGAGTACAACAATACGGGGCGCATGGTTCTTCCCGGTTAGGGGCAGAACTGTCCCACCGCGGTGTTTTTTTTTTTCCAGACGTCGATCTGGCGACACAGGGCGGCATCCCCTTGCTGATCCGGAGGCGCTTAGAGGAATATGCCATATCACATTAGTCCGCTTCCTGACGCGAGAGGCCTTCTGACTGTTAACAATGGATCGACGCATAAACCGTCATTAACGTGACATTATCCATGCTCGCCGCAGGTGGTCAGATAATTGGCGCACGGACTTCAGTTGGGCTTAACATCTGCCATTGGGGCTCCCTTTCTCGCCTCTGCTGAGCAAATCTTCCCTGGCCGATTCGAGGTCCCGTCTTGACACGGAGTGCCCTGTTGGGCATTGTAGGTCCCTGAACGATACAGGAGTCCGATCAATGTAAATCGCGGGCCGGGCCTTGTCTCTGCTTAGGAAATGGGCCCCCAGAGCTCACACCAACACGGAGCCAACTGTTCGTTGGGCGTGGCCTCTGACTGAAATGGAGAACGTTGTTTCAGGTGTCCTCATCGGCGCAAGAGATCACCTCACTGACCTTTGAGAGCACGGCCCTATGAGCGGGGGTCCTTAATGTAACCTACTGTCAGCCCTTCGTACCCTTCAGCCATGCCGTCGGGCCCTTCGTCTTTGGTCACAAGAGACCCTTTCACCTAAACATCCTGCCGGCTCGGGGCCACTTGTCACCACAGGTCCCCTGTTCGGCACTGTTGCCCCCGACCGACAAAGGAGCCCCTCAGTTGTGTCAGGATCCCTAAACATTGCAAATCGCGAACCCCGGCCTCGTTTCTGCTTAGGGAAATAGGTCTCAAGGGCCTAGAAAAACATGGAGCCGGCTGTTCAGTGTTTGTAGGCTCTGACCGATTTAGACAACCGCATTGTCTCAGGGGTTCCTCAAATAGTGCAAGAGGACCTCTGACTGATATTTCAGGCCAAGACCCTGTTGGCAACGATTCCTCATGCGACCTACAGGCAGTCTTTCGGGTCCCTATGCCTTCCAACCGGGCTTTTGATCGTCGGTTCTCGTGGGCCGCTCGTGCATCTCTTCGATCCTTATAGAGCAAGACCCCAGTACTTTCCTTGGTCGGCTCGGGGCCCTTGCGAGCACAGGGCCCTCTGTTAGGCGCTGTGGGCCCCTGACAGACATAAGGTCAGCGGCCAGTATAAATCACCGGTCCCGGCTTTAGAGCTGATTGGGAAGTGGGTATTCAGGCCCATACCGACACGGAGCCGACTGTGCGTTACAGTGGTACATGATCGATATATAGGCCTATACCGACTCAGGGGCTTCCAATCGACGCAAAGGGCATTGTGACCGTTATCTGCGTGTCCGCTGTTCGCAGATGGGGCCCCTGAATAATGCTGACCAGCCCCTTATGCCCTTAAACCTCTCGGATCGCACCCCTGATCGTCGGACCCAGTGGACCCTCTCGGCTCTTCGGGCCTCCTCGAACAATGACTGGCCAACTCGGGGCCCCTTGACAACATAGACCCCCTGCTAGGCGCTGTTGGGCCCTGATCAACGTCAATCGTTGGCTCCAGGCCTTGTTCCCGCTTGGGAAATGAGCCCTTAGGTCTATGCCGCCGCAGATCTGACTGTGCGTTACTCGTGGTGTCTGACCGAACTATAGGCCCTTATCGGCTCAGCAGGGGCCTTGATCAGTGCGCAGGGCCACCTGGCTGGCATTGGAGTGCCCGGTCCTGCGGGCTGAGGCTCCTGGATGGGACTTCCAGCTGGCTTTTCGGGCCCTTCGGGCCTTCACAATCGGACTCTTAGTTGTAGGTTTCAAGAGCCCCGAAGACCCCCCCCCCCCCGGAGCCTAAAGTGGGAGACATGTGCCCCGTCACCCCTGCCTACACCACTGTTTGTACAGCATACATGTAATTCAAATGAAAAAATGTCACTGTACATGCGATAGATAGGATTTGTATCGGGCTATCTGCTGCTCATAGCACGCTCGTTTGATTTCGAGTTCCCATTTTTCGGTCGACCCCCAATGTGTCTCATTCAATTCTCGTGGATCGATGGAAATGGTGAGTTGAACAAATACGGCGTCCAATTTGAAATACTTTTAGAAGCGCAACCTTGCCATAAGGACGATTATAGTACATAGGTGATGGCACTTCTGCTATCTGCTTACAACGCAAATGTCACATAAACGGACACCACATTTTGCGTTGAAATCGCCCCTTGACAGCGCAGGCTTGAAAGCGCAGAGTTAACGGCGGCTTGCCTGCACATAGAGCAACCGTACACCCCTCCGCTCAGCCGGAGAAACCTGCAAACTGTTGGAACTGGGATCCCCAAATGGCGGACGTTTTCCATTTGCATCGACCAAAAAACAAATTAAAATTTTTCAGTTAAGGAACAACCGATTCTTTCTCCTTTCTGACGGGCTGACAAACAATTGTGTCGGCATCGTCAGTCGATGCATGACGTCACATAGCATTTTACCTTGTACCACGGTTGCTGATGACAAACATGCTGACGACAGATCGAACTTGTTCTATGGCCTTGGATCGAACAGGGCCGTCGTCGTGGAATTAGCTGGCAGACGCGCCAGGAAAGGTTGAAGCCGGTTGTGGCGGCGGATAAGGGTTGGTGGTTGGCCGGTACGAATACAAATGTTATTTATTGTTATATGAGAGACGTAGTGGATGTTTGAGGCGGTAGAATTATGTTCAAATGTCTTGTGCGTCCGTTCACATCGGTGTTATGTAGCGTGCGTGCTATATTTAGTTGCAGCAGACCTTTTTGCATAGTGCGAGGCCTACGCTGGTATGTCAATGTCATTGGGCCTTTACGACGCATTCAGCTGCTGAGGCCATATGGCGCAGCCTGCGTCTCACCCAGGCAGGAAGGGCGGGCACTGCGGGGAATCGAACCCCGTACCTCTAGTTTCCAGACGCGTGGCGGTTAACTCAGATGCATTAACCACCACACTACCGACATTCGTATGCCGGAAATACCTGATGGTCATTGGTTTTCAAGCAATGCGTATGGTTATGTATGTTTGAGAATGGGCAAAACCTGAGACTCCAAACTTAGTTGCGCAGCATCTGTATGTTGTCTTGCATCTGAGGGAGCAGGCAGCAAGTCTATATAGCTGTCTCAATGAGAGATCTGCCAGGCAGGTGTTCACTGCTCATTCATGCAAACTAGGGCTGATTTGGTCTCTTTTGGAAACTGATGATTTGTTTGGAACACTTTTTGGTGAAATTGCCTCTCAAAAATAATATTACCCTGAAACATGGACTCTCTAAATGCTGAACTTGGTGGAGACTGGGGACCACATAGCATTATAAGCACATGGATTTGTGTTGCACATGCACTGAGTGTGTGCTATGGGCTGTTGCTGCTATGCAGTCATGGCTGCAATCCTTGGTTAAAATGCAGGTTTTTGGCAGTTTGTGTGTCAACTTAAGCATCTGGTGATATTTGTGTAAACTGCTGGATAGTGGGGAGGTACTGAGAAACTGGCAGAATAAGGGAGTGTATAGAAGGGAACAAATCATAGCAATTTATGAGCTACAAGCTGGAAAATGCTGAATGTTCAAACTCCAAGTATGTTTTTTGTGAATGGGTGCTGATTATCATCTAACAGTTTGTGGCAACACTTTCTATTTGTTTTGCAACTTGTTGCAACTGAGTCAGGCATGTAACCAAAATTTTCTGCAGGAGATGGGAGCAGCCCAAATTTTATAAAATTGCCTGTTACTTAAGGGCAAATGCCTTGAATCAGAAGGGAGGGTTCATAGTCATTGTCTTGCCTATGTCCCCAGGCCTGGCCCAATTGTGTGCTGGTTGATCTTGAAATCCTGCAAGGTTGGCCACCAAGTGGAGCATGTCATTGGGCCTCCATTGCTGGCATGGGTTTTGCCTTTTATCAAACATCAATGTTTTTCTGTTGTGATGGAGTGAAAAAGTTGGAGCTTAGAATCATCTGGCTTCTCTGCAGGGTCATTTGTGGTCAAAGAACATGCAACTGGCTCATTTTAGGCCCTGAACTTTGCACACTCCACACTGAAGAGTGACAAATTTGGGGCCTCTGCTGAAATTTCATCAACAAGTTGAAGGTTTTTGGCTGAGGCTTCAGCTACAGTGCACTAATCATGTGGTGATTCTGCAGGTACAGTACAGCCACCCAGCCTCCAGTGGCAATGTCTGAGGGGAGTGGCCAGGCAGGTGGGGCAGTGGCAACAGCAGCCGCACACCCTGGCCCCACCTCCGGCACGACCGTCGACCCGGACCCGGAGGTGGTGGTGGAGGAGGAGGCGACGCTGGCTGCCAGCCGTGCCCGTGGCTTCCTCAGCTGCGCCCGCTGTGGCCAGCACCTGGAGTACAGCGGCCTGGCGCCGCGCCTGCTGCCCGCCTGCCTGCACACTGTCTGTCAGCTGTGTGCTGGTGAGAGTGGCTGAGGTCAGTACTGCCGGTCGCTGGCGCGCGCTACAGACTCAGGCTGTGACGCAAACGGCTGATCTTTCCACCTCAGCATGTGGGCTCCCTGTGCTGTCGTGATGGGCCTTTCTGCCATTTTCCAGTAGGCAGGACATCACAGCGTGACCGGCGTGCATCTGTGTACATTGTTGCAACTTGTGACTGCATTCTGTAGGATGTGGCTTTGTACACCCTCTGTAAGGCAGTGGCTGATGTGCCCTAGGGGGTGAGGCTCAGTACACCCTCTGGCAGACAGCAACTCTGATGTGCCCTAGGGGATAAGGTCCATTTGTCCCTCTGCCAGACAGTGGCTGATGTGCCCTGGGGAATGAGGCCCAGTATACCTTCTGCCAGACAGTGGCTGATGTGCCCTGGGGAATGAGGCCCAGTATACCTTCTGCCAGACAGTGGCTGATGTGCCCTGGGGAATGAGGCCCAGTATACCTTCTGCCAGACAGTGGCTGATGTGCCCTGGGGGATGAGGCCCAGTATACCTTCTGCCAGACAGTGGCTGATGTGCCCTGGGGGATGAGGCCCAGTATACCTTCTGCCAGACAGTGGCTGATGTGCCCTGGGGAATGAGGCCCAGTATACCTTCTGCCAGACAGTGGCTGATGTGCTCTGGAGAATGAGGCCCAGTATACCTTCTGCCAGACAGTGGCTGATGTGCCCTGGGGGATGAGGCCCAGTATACCTTCTGCCAGACAGTGGCTGATGTGCCCTGGGGGATGAGGCCCAGTATACCTTCTGCCAGACAGTGGCTGATGTGCCCTGGGGGATGAGGCCCAGTATACCTTCTGCCAGACAGTGGCTGATGTGCCCTGGGGGATGAGGCCCAGTATACCTTCTGCCAGACAGTGGCTGATGTGCCCTGGGGGATGAGGCCCAGTATACCTTCTGCCAGACAGTGGCTGATGTGCCCTGGGGGATGAGGCCCAGTATACCTTCTGCCAGACAGTGGCTGATGTGCCCTGGGGAATGAGGCCCAGTATAACCTTCTGCCAGACAGTGGCTGATGTGCTCTGGGGGATGAGGCCCAGTATACCTTCTGCCAGACAGTGGCTGATGTGCCCTGGGGAATGAGGCCCAGTATACCTTCTGCCAGACAGTGGCTGATGTGCCTCTGGGGATGAGGCCCAGTATACCTTCTGCCAGACAGTGGCTGATGTGCCCTGGGGGATGAGGCCCAGTATACCTTCTGCCAGACAGTGGCTGATGTGCCCTGGGGGATGAGGCCCAGTATACCTTCTGCCAGAAGGGAATGAGGCCCAGTATACCTTCTGCCAGACCGTGGCTGATGTGCCCTGGGGGATGAGGCCCAGTATACCTTCTGCCAGACAGTGGCTGATGTGCCCTGGGGGATGAGGCCCAGTATACCTTCTGCCAGACAGTGGCTGATGTGCCCTGGGGATGAGGCCCCAGTATACCTTCTGCCAGACAGTGGCTGATGTGCCCTGGGGATGAGGCCCAGTATACCTTCTGCCAGACAGTGGCTGATGTGCCCTGGGGGAATGAGGCCCAGTATACCTTCTGCCAGGACAGTGGCTGATGTGCCCTGGGGAATGAGGCCCAGTATACCTTCTGCCAGACGTGGCTGATGTGCCCTGGGAATGAGGCCCAGTATTACCTTCTGCCAGACAGTGGCTGATGTGCCCTGGGGAATGAGGCCCAGTATAACCTTCTGCCAGACAGTGGCTGATGTGCCCTGGGGAATGAGGCCCAGTATACCTTCTGCCAGACAGGGCTGATGTGCTCTGGGGACTGAGGCCCAGTATACCTTCTGCCAGACAGTGGCTGATGTGCCCTGGGGAATGAGGCCCAGTATACCTTCTGCCAGACAGTGGCTGATGTGCCCTGGGCGATGAGGGCCCAGTATAACCTTCTGCCAGACAGTGGCTGATGTGCCTCTGGGGAATGAGGCCCAGTATACCTTCTGCCAGGACAGTGGCTTGATGTGCCCTGGGGGATGAGGCCCAGTATACCTTCTGCCAGACAGTGGCTGATGTGCTCCTGGGGAATGAGGGCCAGTATACCTTCTGCCAGACAGTGGCTGATGTGCCCTGGGGGATGAGGCCCAGTATACCTTCTGCCAGACAGTGGCTGATGTGCCCTGGGGATGAGGCCCAGTATACCTTCTGCCAGACAGTGGCTGATGTGCCCTGGGCGAATGAGGCCCAGTATACCTTCTGCCAGACAGTGGCTGATGTGCCCTGGGGATGAGGCCCAGTATACCTTCTGCCAGACAGTGGCTGATGTGCCCTGGGGGATGAGGCCCAGTATACCTTCTGCCAGACAGTGGCTGATGTGCCCTGGGGAATGAGGCCCAGTATACCTTCTGCCAGACAGTGGCTGATGTGCCCTGGGGGATGAGGCCCAGTATACCTTCTGCCAGACAGTGGCTGATGTGCCCTGGGGATGAGGCCCAGTATACCTTCTGCCAGACAGTGGCTGATGTGCCCTGGGGGATGAGGCCCAGTATACCTTCTGCCAGACAGTGGCTGATGTGCCCTGGGGGATGAGGCCCAGTATACCTTCTGCCAGACAGTGGCTGATGTGCCCTGGGGGATGAGGCCCAGTATACCTTCTGCCAGACAGTGGCTGATGTGCTCTGGGGAATGAGGCCCAGTATACCTTCTGCCAGACAGTGACTGATGTGCCCTAGCAGGTGAGATCCAGTACACCCCATGCCAAACAGTAACTCTGATGTGCCCTGTGGTCGAGGTCCAATGTACCCAATGTATGAGCGTCACATGATCAGACCAGTCAGCATGCTCTAAAGCCCAAATCACCATCACCATCATCATCCTTCAATGTACCTCCCATCTGATGGTGTCTGATGTGCTTCAGGGGGAGAGGTGCAGTGCGCCCTCTGCCAGACCACGTCGCCCTCGGTGGCGGACCACCCGCTGCTGGAGGAGCTGCTGCGCGACACGCACGCGCGGCAGCAGGCGGCCGGCTGCGGGCAGTGTTCAGAGCGGGGCGTCAGCGCCAGCGTCGTCGCCGGCTCGTGCCTTGACTGCCAGACCGACCTCTGCCAGAACTGTATTGATGTGAGTCCACGCGCCGGGCGGCACCGCAGGTGGCGGCAGCTGGCAGCGCTGGTCTGGAGATGCCGTAGCGACGGTGATGCAGTTGCTGCAGCCCGGTGTTGGGGCTCGTGGCAGACAGGTGTACGTCGTTGGCAGATGTGGCATGGTAGTGCTGTTCAGTGACAGCTGTCCTGTATTTTCCCCTCTAAAAGGTTCCACGTTTTTCATGCCTGTCCCACCTGACAGGGTCCCTGTTCTTGTTTCATGTTCTGGAGTCATGCCTTGCAGGCCTGTCCCAGCTGACACAGCCACTGTTCTTGTCTCACGTTCTGGAGTCACTCCTTGCAGGCCTATCCCAGCTGATAGAGTGTCACTGTCTCACGTTTCACGCTCTGGGGCCACCCCTTGTAAGCTTGTTTCAGCTGACACAGCGCCACTGTCCTTGTCTGGCGTTCTGGGGCCGGGGACGGCAGAGCCAGCCGTCCACGGCGCGCCGTGCCACTCAGACCACCGTGCCACTCAGACCACCGCGCCACTCAGGCCGGCATGCCACTCAGACCGGCGTGTCTGTAGCTGTGCGTTGGCAGTCTGTCGGCCCACTGGCATCTAGGATTTTGCCGTACTTCCCAGCTGGCTGTCGTGGCTGTTTTCATTCCGTGGCCGACCAACAGTGCCAAATGTGTCTTCAAGTCGGCCGAAAACCGGGACGTCCGTGAGTGGAGGTTTTGTGGCTATCCGATGGAAGTAACCGACATTGCCAACTCGGGACGCTCTTTTGACGGCCCACTGCTACGTTGGCAGGCGCACAAGATCACGAAGGCCACGTGGGACCACAAGGTGAAGCTGCTGCCGGACGCCAAGCAGGAGGACCGATGCCCTGAGCATGACAAGGTGCGTCCGGCTCACTGCACTGGCGGCCCTGGGTCAACACTTATGTATTTCAAACATAGCATCGTCCATGCATCTGCGTGGGTTCCATTCTCGCCCCGCTCTTCGGGCGTGCCTGACTCCAACCGCCTGCACTTCATCTGTCGACTGAAGTGCGGTCGGCAGTGCCGGACGACTGTCCAGCTGTCGTGCTCGTCCTCGGGGCGCCGCGCCGACCGCCGCCGACTCTCAGCCGCGTGCCGTTCGCAGGCGTTCGACTACTACTGCGACGGGTGCGAGGTGCTGGCGTGCGGCGAGTGCATCCTGTCGGCCCACCGGTCGCACGCCTCCTCCACGCTGGCGGACAAGGCGGCCCAGGTGCGCGCCGCCCTGCGCTCCTGCCTGGACGGCATGAGGTCAGCACGACCACGGCTGGAGGCGGCGGCGCGGCCGGTGTTGGTGTGCGTGGGCCACGTCCGCTTGTGATGGGAGAGGGCCGATATCGTGCGCCGAAGCAAGGTTTGAGTCGCCCTGTGTGTGTTGTCGGTCTTACTGCGTCGTTGCCAACGCGTCTAGCGCTTCTGGTGGTAATTATGGATCGTCATTTTCTTTTAAGATAAGGGGCACGTCCAGGTATATTGCTGCTCCGTCACGTGCCATTCGGTCCTCCGCGGCGTCGTACGGACCTCCTGTGCCAATGTCGGACCCAGCGTCCGTTCCGCATCCATGACAGATGGATAAGTATTATTTTGCCCCACTGGCAACAGGTCGGAGATCGCTTAGTTTGCGCCAAACATTGTCGAAGTCGCTGAAAGAATCTGCCTCTTCCAGCGGGGTCAAGATGAATGTCTCTGTGGAAATCGCCAAACTGAAGTCTCGGATGCTGGAATGCGCCGATGAGAAGCAGAAGAGCACAGCCAGCGTTTCGTGCGGAGTATGAACGGTGCGTAGCAATCCTTACATCGTCTTCCCCATCCCTGTGCTGTGAGCTTGCCGTCGCGCCGGGCGGCTGGTGGTGCCGCTCTGGACGCCGGCCGCGGAGGAGCTGTCGGCCGCGCTCCGCCCGCGCCGACCCCGAGTGCACTCAGGTGACCCCGTGCGCCGCCGCAGCATCTGGATAGCCAGATCCGCCGCACCGTCCCGCGGGCTGGTGCGTCGCGCCGCACAGTGGCCGCCACTGACGCCGGCCGGCCGGCAGGTACCAGACGCTGGTGCGCGCCTTCTTCTTGCGTCAGGTGGAGACGGGCCGCCAGAGACACGACGATTACGGCCGTGAGCTGGAGGGGCAGCTGGCGGCCGCTTCGCTGGTGCAGGCGCGCGCCGCCCATTGTGCCAACCTGGTGGGCCGCCTGCTGGACAGCCGCCGACCGACCACCAGTGTCCACTACAGCAGGTGCGGCTACCGGCGTCGGTCGGAAGCCGACCTGGGCTGAGCCACCGCGCGGCGGGCGGCCCGGGCATGATGGGCTTGGGGCTCGTGGCTTGGCGTTAGGAGCGCGCTGGGTGGGTGCGAGGGAAGGGGAGTTGTGACGTCCTGTAGTATTTTGTTTTTGGCGTGCATCGCGTTGCTTGAGGCTGCGCTTACTGTAGAACCTTACTTGATCTGCATGTGGAGGTTCATATTTGTGCCCCCCACCACCACCACTGCTGCTTGGCAGAGGCTTTCCAACTTTTCGCGATCTGCTGCGTTCTGAGTCTTGTCGAATCTGAATATCAAGGCTGGTTAGATATAGCCAGGTTAGACGTGTTTTGTTTCCCGCTGTCTGTGCTGACCTGTGCTCCCAGCGCCGTGTCGGCTGACCTGCGGCGGTGTTCCAGGCACGTGACGGCGCTGGCCAAGCGGCTGGCGTCGGTAGACTTGAAGCAGCCGGACCTCTTGCCACCCGAGCTCACCATGCGTCGCGTCTTCGGCATAGACCGTGAGCGAGCGAAGCGGGGGCTCTTGGGCTGGTGCCCAGGCGGGCCGGCCATGGCCAGCCGCAGCAGGTTCCCCGTGCTTTGAAATGCAGTTGTGATCAGTGCCGTTTGCGTCAGCGGGCGTGATAGTCCGTCGGGGCCGGTTAGACGTGTGGTGCTGATCACATTGCCGACAGCCGACGTGAATGCCATGTGGTAGTCGTAAGGATGGGGTTAAGGCTCATTCCGTCGGGCAGAGGGATGCGGCGTGAGTGGTGCAGGTGCGCCCAGGATCAGCGCGGTTGTGGGCGAGACTTGTTTCACGTCACACTTCAGCGCTGGGCGCACGGGACAGGCTCAGGCTGTCGCAGTGTCAGGCCAGCTTCTCCAGGCCCTCCTCGCGGCGGGCCCACGTCGTCAGACGTCTCGTTGCTGGATTGTGGCATGCCGTGCACGGATTCGTTATTGCATTTCAGTAATGTCGCCTGGGCGGGGCCCCGCGGCCGGCTCTCGCTGCCGAGCGATGGTGCGGTGCTGGCGACCGGTGCCCGCAGCTGCCGTCCGCTCCTCCGCGCGCACAGCCGCTCACAGTCGCTGGTGTCTCCCGGCTGACCGGCAGGCGTCGGCGACCTCATGACGGTGCTGCTGTACGACCGCGGCACGTGTCTGCAGCCGGAGACGAAGCGTGCCATATGCCGCGCCTTCCTGGCGGCCTCGCGCCAGGTGATTGGCTGTCACCAGCGCGCCAACACTGAGTTCGCTATGACCTACATGAAGCTGATGTTCCGCAGCGTGGCGCGACTGCCGCACGTCTCGGCCGAGCTGCGCAGCCTGGTGGACGAGCTGCACCGCCGAGTGGTCAGCACGTTCGTCAGCACTGAAGCCGAGCCAGCGGCCGGAGTGGCGGCCGCGGCTCGGCTTCAGCGTACGAGTGCGGCCGCTGGCTGGCGGTCGGACGGCGCCTGAGGCCGGCGTGCCGGCCGCCAGCTGGCCACAGTCGGGCGGCCAGATGTCCGAGCCGGCTCAGGCTTGGAGGCAGCAGCAGCGGCAGCACCAACCGCGACAGCAACAACAGCCATCGGTGCAGCTGCCGGAGCAACAGCGGCAGCGACAACAGCAGCAACAGCAGCAGCGACAACAGTGGTCAGTGCAGCCGCCGGGGCAGCCGCCAGGGCGACAGCAACGGCAGCAGCAACATCAGTCGGAGCAGCCGCCACAGCAGCAACAGCAGCTAGAGCAGCAGAAGCGTCGTCGTAAACAGCAGCCCACCCAGTGGCCGCCGCCGGAGCTGAGCCCGACAGACCTAGCAGCGGAGGACAGTGACGACTTATTAGTTGTGTGGAGCTCAGATCCCAGATCACAGCGGACATCTGGGGAGCGGGGCGCACCGAGCGGGCGAGCGGCCCCTGCCGTCCGTTAGCCTGTCGGGGTCCAGGCGCGATGATCGCGCAGCGGAAGAGACGGCGCAGGTGAGGGACGCGGGAGATGGGGCGCCGGAGGTGCGTGCGCGTTAGTCGAGCTGTTTTGTCAACTTTAAAAAGGAGTTGGAAGTTTTACGCTTCGGAGCCGCGAAAGAGACGCGTCGTACTGACTTGCGGTCTTGTGCGGTGAGTTTTGCATGTGCCTTACGTAGTGGCAAAAAGCGCACAGCGCTCAGCCACAAACCCCGCTTGTCTGCAACGTGCTTAAAACATGACTTTATTGCAGATAAGTCTTCCGGCACCCAGCGCGGGGAGCGTACCACCAGTGTGCACCGCCTCGCTCGCTACCACCGCGCCGGCCCCGTCCGGGCGGCAGCAGGTCCAGCCGGCTGCCGCCGCCGGCCCAGAGCCAGCTCGGTCAGTCCAGCCGCCTGTCGCCGCCGGCGTGCTGGTTCCGAACGCGTCTTCGTCGTTGTCAGCTTCCATCCCGCCATCAGCTGCGCTGTCGGGTCTGCCGCGCGCCGCCCGAGCCTCCAGTGTGCCGTCGGCTCTGGCGCCGGCCGCTGTCGACGACGGGCAGCAGGACGTGGCGAGTTCGCACGTGCCGGTGCTTACGCCCGGCACCGAGGCGGCGGTACAGGCGCTGCTGGTGGAGCCCGATCGCCTCCAACTGGGCGCGGGTGGCGAGGCCGACGACAGCGACGTGTTCGTCGACAGCAAGGTGCATGTGCTGGAGAACGCGGTGGACGCACAGGCCGTCGCGAACGCGCCGGCTTGCAAGCGCAGGAGGAGCGAAGGGACGAACGTGGCCAGCGTGCGCGCGCGCCCGCGCCCGCTAGGTCGTCCTCACGACCCAGCGGACGGGCCGGGAGCGAGGCCGGGGAAGAGGTCGGGGGCGTGGACGAGGCGGCGCCTCCGCCGCGCACCACACTCCCACTCTGCCCCAAGAGCACAGGGCCCTGGTGTCGCCGCCGCCCGCGCTGCCGGCCCTGGATGCGGGCGCGCGCCAGATGGTGATCGTGCACATGCCGGTGCTGGTGTCGGGCGACGTGGCGGCGGAGCAGGCGCCGGCGAGCGCGTCCGGTCACAGCCAGCCGGGCTCGAACGACGAGGTGTGGCGCAGGCGTGGCGCTGGACTGGGGCACAGACGACGACAATGCTGTGTTCGTCGACAGCAAGGTGGACGTGCTGGAGAACGTGGTGACGACAGAGCCAGCCGCGGTCACCGCCGAGCCCGCCTGGAAGGCTGCGCTCCGGCAGAAGATCCAGAAATCGATGGCCCTGCTGCACGCGCGAGAGGGAGGCGGGGCCGCGGGCGAGCCGACTCGCAAGCGTCGGAGGAGCGAGGAGTCGGGTGTGGGAAGAGCGCGGGCGCGCCTGATGGACACCCTCTCGCGCCAACGGACGGGCGGGGAGCGGGGCTGGGGGCGCGGACGAGGTCGGGGACGCGGACTCGGGCGGGGTCGGGGAAGAGGTCGGGGACGCGGGCGAGGTGGCGCCGCCGCCATACGGCACGGTCCTGATCAATCTCAGCAGCCGAGGGACGCGACAGCCGTCTGGGGGCGCTGCCCGGAGGCGGGCCGAGGACGGCGGGAGGAGGCCGCCGCCCCGGGGCACGGTCCGAACCGAACCGCGGAACGCTCGGAGCTTGGTCGCCGCCCCCGACCGCCGCGCTGAAGCGGACCGGGTACGGCGGGAAGTTGGCGCGGTCGCGGACCTGCCCTCGGAGCCGCAGTCCGGCCGGCCGCCGGAGGAGCGGCGGTCGCACCCAGAAGCGGCCGCTGAGCCCGGCGCCGCCGCCGCCGCCGCCGCAGCCGCAGCCGCAGCCGCAGCCGCAGCCGCAGCCGCAGCCGCAGCCGCAGCCGCAGCCGCAGCCGCACGCAGCCGCAGCCGCAGCCGCCGGTCTGCCGGCCGCCCTCGCTGCTGCGGGACGGACCGCGGCAACAAGGTCAGCCGCGCAGGCGTCAGCGTCGACACGCCGCTGCGTGACCTGCTGAACAGTATGCTGCTGGCCGGCTCGGAGCGCGACGGTGAGCGACTGCGGGGCTCGAGGCTCGGCTCCGGCTCCGTGGTGCGTTGTGGGAGCTGGGCTGTGATGAAGTGGTTACGTTGTTTTGCGTGATGGGTTTGTTCGATGGGTAGGGAAGCTGGCTGTGTGCGCCGCACATCTTGTTCAGGCGGTGTGGAACGGAGGCACAGATGGTGCGTGGTGGACGCGCACGTCTGGGAATAATTGCGCGTCTAGCCTGTGACTGCACCGCCTCTTGCAATGCCGGCTTGGTTCATTTTAGTTTCGATGGAATTATGGATGAATGGCAATTTTACGTTATGGTGCCGGTATTTCCTTGTGCAATTGTCCAGCGTTACGCGCCGTGCCCGTAGCCACGGCTACTGGCGCCACGGATCAGCTCATCCCGGACGACTGCGCGCCGCGTGGCCACCGTCACCCGCTGCGCACTGGCACAGAGGTGGAGCTGGTCGCGGAGGAGGCGCCTGAGCCGGACGCGTCGGCAGCGGCCGACCTGCTTCCCGCCGCCCCGCCACTGGTCGCGCTGCCTGCTGAGGCCAGTCCCCTGGCGCCACCGGCGCTGTCCACCAGACCAGGGCGATGCTGCGGCCGGCGGCCGGCCGGCGGAAGGGCGCGACGCCACGCCCGCCCGGCCCTCGCTGATGGATGATCTGGCCGTCTCGGACGATTCCTCGGACTCGGACTCGGCTCCCAGCTCGCAGAACTCGTCCTCGTCGTCCTCGTCGTCCTCCTCCGGTGCCTCGTCCTCTTCCTCCGCTTCCGGTGCCCCATCACCTCCGTCGTCGTCGAGCGTCTCGCCAGCGGTGGGCAGTGCGTCTGGCACCGCGCCGCCTGCCTCGCCTCACGTGGTGCGCCCGATGGACGCGTCTGGCGAGCCGCTGCCCTGGAACCGCACCAACGACCCGCTGGGTATCGGGTTTGCGGCCGAGCTGCTGTACCGGCCGCCGGAGCGCGGGCCGGGCTCCCCCAACGTCAGCTACTGCGTCCTCTGCTGGGACGGCGGCGACCTGGTGCTCTGTGACTACTGCGAGCGGGCCTTCCACCGCGACTGCTACGTCGGCGAGGTCGAGGACGACGCGGAGTGAGTTGGCGCGGGTGGGATCGCGACAGCTGGTCAGCGATGGAGCGTATGGTCGGTGGGATGGTGGGTCCCGTGGTGTGGCGAACGGAGGATCGCCGCGTGGCCGATGGTGGGGGGTCTCGTGGTGTGGCGAACGGAGGATCGCCGCGTGGCCGATGGGTAGGTGGGTCCGTGGTGCGAACAGAGGATGTCACGTGGTCGGTGGGATGGTGGGTCCCGTGGTGTGTGGCGAACAGAGGGTTGTCACGTGATCGGTGGGATGGTGGGTCCCGTGGTTTGGACGAACAGAGGATTGTCACGTGGGCGGTGGGATGGTGGGTCCGTGGTGTGGCGAACGGAGGGTTGTCACGTGGTCGGTGGGATGGTGGGTCTCGTGGTGTGGCGAACGGAGGGATTGTCACGTGTCGGTGGGATGGTGGGTCGTGGTGTGGCGAACGGAGGATTGTCACGTGGTCTGTGGGATGGTGGGTCCGTGGTGTGGCGAACGGAGGATGTTGTCACGTGGTCTGTGGATGGTGGGTCCCGTGGTGTGGCGAGCGGAGGATTGTCACGTGATCGGTGGGATGGTGGGTCCCGTGGTTGGACGAACGGAGGATTGTCACGTGGTCTGTGGGGATGGTGGGTCCCGTGGGTGTGGCGAGCGGAGGAATGTCACGTGATCGGTGGGATGGTGGGTCCCGTGGTGTGGCGAACGGGGTTTGTCACGTGGTCTGTGGGATGGTGGGTCCCGTAGTGTGGCGAACGGAGGACTCCCACGTGGCGCTCTGCGGAGCATGAGGAGTTATTGAGGTGGCTGCAGCTGCAGCGGCAGGGCCCGCAGGAGCGCAGGGCCCTCCGCCTGGTGAGGCCATTATGTGGGAGCCGCAGCACAGGGCGGTTGTGTTCTTTGCCTTCGATGGTCATCTTTTGGACACCGTGTATTCTCGCCAAAGCATGAGCTAATGAGGACATGGGTATGAGCACGAGCATGAGCTCACTGGCCAGGCAACAGGCAGCCTGGTCGCGGCGCCCTGACCCACACTGCGCAGCAAACCCTCGGTGCTGTGCACAGTGGGTTAAAGCACGGCCTTGTCATGTTGCGCAGCGTACAGGACGTGACGGGTCGGGCCGGTAGCGTGCGCAACACCTTGCTCTGCCGCGTCCCCAGAGGCCAGTGGCGGTGCCTGCTGTGTTCGGAGCCACCACGGCTGGCCGGGCCGGACCGCCCCCGCCCTGAGCGGCTCCTGGCCTCCGCCGACCTCCTCATGGCACGCCGCCTGCTGCTCGAGCTGTATGCCGCCTATTATCCTTGCCTCTACTTCAGAAGCCGCAGTAACTTGGAGGTGAGTGCGGCCCGCGGGCGTCCGTCCATTTTGGAAAGTTATTCTTGGCTGAACGAAGCCATTTGCACGGACATGGGAATGTTAGGATTATTGGGCTTGTCCCCTCCTTTATGTACCTACCTACACGAAGCTTGGATTTTATGGAAATACTGTACAATTCCTATATTGTGTACACAAGTGGGACTGCGATGTTAGAGCTTTTTTGAACGGTCTGACCCGCTCCGCCCATGTACGTTACGTTTGGTTTTAGTGCACGCTCTGGTGTCGTGGGTATATTCCGTACGGTGTTACGCAGCTACTGCCAGAGTGGAGGAAACTCAAGGACCCTATCTGCCTGGACGACATCAAGGAGCGCCTGAAGCCATGGAAATACCCTCACTCATGGACCTCCTCAAGGCGCTTGAAGCGTCGGAGTGGACATGATACGGTCCCTGAAGGTGCGTACTCCAGCATGGGATTGGTTTCTGTAGACGTGTCACCGGATAGTTTGCCGGACGGCTGCGGCGGGCCGCGGCCTCCGCTGGCTCACTGCCGACGCGCCAGGTCCACGTGACGGCTCGGCTGGACGGAAGCTACCATACGGAGGGAAAACCCGTGCGGTGCGTCCCGGGACGCGACGTGTGCCGGCGCCACCGCCCACCTCCCGGGCCATGCCGCCCGTCCCCAGCTCATGACTACTCCCCGGGACCAGCGGCGTGTTCGGTCACCACCGCCCACCTCCAGGGCCCGCCGCCCGACTCCGCATCATGTACTACTCCCCGGACAGCGGCGTGTTCCGGTCACCACCGCACTCAGGGCCCGCCGCCCGTCCCCAGCTCACCACTACTCCCCGGACAGCGGTGTTCCGGTCACCACCGCCCACCTCCAGGGCACGCCGCCCGTCCCCAGCTCACCACTACGCCCGGGCAGCGGCGTGTTCCGGTCACCACCGCCCACCTCCAGGCCCGCCGCCCGTCCCAGCTCATGACTACTCCCCGGACGGCGGCGTGTTCCGGCCGCCACGCCCACTCCAGGGCCCGCCGCCCGTCCCCAGCTCAACTACTCCCCGGACGGCGGCGTGTTCCGGTCACACCGCCCCCTCCAGGGCCCGCCGCCCGTCCCAGCTCCACTACTCCCGGACAGCGGCGTGTCCGGCCGCCAGGGCCCACCTCCAGGGCCGCCGCCCGCCCCAGCTCATGACTACTCCCCGGACGGCGGCGTGTTCCGGCCGCCACCGCCCACCTCCAGGGCCCGCGCCCGACTCCAGCTCCACTACTCCCCTGACAGCGGCGTGTTCCGGTCACCACCGCCCACCTCCAGGGCTCGTCCGCCCGTCCCCAGCTCATGACTTCTCCCGCGGAAAGCCACGCCGGAAACAGGCGACTCTGCTGCAAACCTAGCCAAGACAATTTTAGTGATGTTTAACCCAGTGGCATTTGGCTGCCTAATGTCGTCAAATGCCTTCAAGAGCAAATTACAGATAACCCGTTTCTTTGTGCCAGAACTGGGCTGCGAGTGCGCTGAAGCTGGAACATCAATGTGCCGTTTTTGACACATACGCAAGGCGCGGAATACCCTTGTTTTTGATATTCATAGTTCCACACCTGGACTTAGGACAAAAACTGTTGGTTTTTGCTAACGTGAAAGCATGCTAAGGGGGAAGAAAAGTCACTTATGTGTAAGTACCACTGCTGGTAGGATGGCCACTGATTTTGAAAGCCGGGAGCTTAGTGTTTCGTAGTCGCTTCAAGAGCTTGCCAATACGTTGAATAGGGATTGCCAAAAAGTGTACAGTAGCCGTGGTAACGAGTAAGTAATTGTGCGTGTACATGCAAGCAAAATGACAAGCTGGCATGGAGCTGGAAATCCTCATAACCTCCAGCTCCGTGGAAAGACGGGCACACGTACCGTTTTTCGTCCCTTGCATCTAACTAAGCATTAGTGGATATGTCATGTGCAACAGACAGATGACAATGACGATTGCTCGTCCGTGCTTCATATGATGCATTTCTGCTTCATCCATCGCCGGCGGCGAGTGCTGGTAAAGCGTGCTTCTCTGGCCACGCCGCTCCTGCTGTTCGGCGGCGGGTTGGCGGAGGCGCTAAGCCAACGGTGCTGTGTTGCAGAAGGGGAGCGTCGGGAGGAAGTACCTGAAGGAGCTGGAAGAGGTGTTCGACAGCTTCGTTCGCGACCACATGCACGAGTTCTGGTTACAGTTAGACGAATCCATCGTCCCGGTAACCCAGCGTCTTCGGCGTCGGTTGGCGGCACAATGTGTTGTGCGATTCCGTTGCAGTCCCGAACGTCGGGGCATTGTCGGTGGTGATTCAAAGTATTCTCCCACGTCCGCTGTTACTTTTGTCCTGTTGTGGTTCTGGGGAGATGCCGAACTGCGTCATTTTATTTTTTTAAGCGTTATAGTCAAGAGATTAAGAGAGAAACCAAAGCTGACTAATGTTTATGGTGTAATAATGCCTTTCAGTTGTGTGTGTTTGTGGCATTGTCCGCGAAGCGCACGAGGATACAATGGCGGCTGTGGTTTTTCGGTCGCATATCATGGAATTTATATCAAGGGAGCCAAGTTAAGGTAAACGGTGATGCCAAGCCACTGTTAGGACATGCCATGGGTCGCTAATTACATATTTGCATGACACATCCTTGATGAAACTTAACATTTTCGTAATATATGCGAATGATTGCTTTATAACATCGTTTAACCAATGCCTTTTGTTGCACTGAAAGTAGTTTTCTGGATAAAAAATTGTAACCGCGTTAAGCTTCGTCGCAGTTGATTCAAATTAGTCAAATGCTGTGTGAAATGGAACCAGATTGCAGTGTGCAAGACCTCCCAACAGTGTTCCTGGCTTTGCGCGTGAATGGTCGATTAGTGAACCTCTGCCGGTAAGCTGATCGATATGAGCGCCAAGGAACATCTACGTTGCGAAGCTCAGTGAGGGTCACGTGGTATAATCTAGATTGGCGTGCACCGTGACGTCATTGAGGGAGTCGCTGCTGTAGGCTATCGACTCACACGACTCCGGTCCAGTAAAGCGCCGAGCTTCTCCGTCTGCGACTGGCCAAGCCGTGAGGTAATGTAAATATCCGCCTGGTGTCTCAGGAAAAATCAAAGTGATTGCAAGAATAATGTGATGCAAACTCCATTTCCTGTGGAGTTTCGTGAAGCCACCAGCATCGGCATAAACTCCGACACGGGAGACGGGTGTGTGTCTGACAGCTTCTCCGAGAGTTGGCGCCCTCGGGGTGTCACGGAGAGCATCACCGAAGACCGTCGGCGTCTTCCGGGACGTGATCGGTGGCGGGTCCCCCAGCACATACACTGGTAACCATCTGCACCGCGCACAGCGACCCCGGCCGTCGAGACGCCCCGAACCCGACGACCTCAATCATCTGTGCCACATCGGCCACAGCCGCCGACTTGTAGAGTAGCTATTCGCATTCTCTCGAGTCGGTGGCTGGAGCGGACTAGGCTGAGCTCGTCAGGGATCTGGAGCGGGGCGGTGGGTCTCATGGGGCGGCACGCCGCACCGGCGGGGCGTTAGCATACAATGGCAGAGCGCGGCGGTGTCCCGAGGCGCCACGCGTCGGGCCAGCGGTGGCGGCCGGAGGGCAGCGCGGCCGGCTGTCTGAGCGCGGCGCGCGCAGCAGGTGGCGGCCGGTTCGTCCTGATGATGATGGCTTGTGCTTCCCTGCCGTCTGACTCGGCTTGCACCGGCATGAGAAACAGAAGTGTCTGAGGAGAATAGGAAGCACTTCGTTGTCTTAGCGCGCCCGGTTGGGCAGCTGACGTCTAGCCGCTTCACAAGTGGCCATTCGGCCTTTGGACTTACCGGCTTTATATGCCATAACCGCTTCACTGGCCGCCTCGCCATGTGCGACCTTTAGGCCTCAGCCACATTCATGAGTATCCGTGTAGGTCAGGCCTGTTGCACTTCATCACATGTACTCCGGTCGCCGGCTGTGTGCTCCCTGGCGTTTGGCCGTGTCACCTGCTGTCATGCTGGCAGTGCGGTAGGCGGGCATCCGGTCACGAGTCGGAGATCGACGCCGTATTTACCATTGTACGCGTTTCGCTATTACGAGAGACGCCAGTGGCCATGTCAGTCTTGCGTCAAATGACTCGCCGCAGATCAGCGGCGAGAAGACGCGTCGGGAGTCTGCTAAATATGTGTGCCTTGCTCGTCGGTGGGTATGCACTTCCTCGCACACTTCACGCCGAACACTGGCTGGCATGTGGACCAGCCGAACCCGCGCTGCCCAGCTGGGTGGTCACGCATTCGGATGGGGGGTCGCACGCTGTCATCACTGTATCGCAATAAGCCGGTCACAACCACGAAGGTGACATCCCGCTCGTCGGAGCACGACCCTGAGGGGTGCGACCGCACAGGCTGGGCAGGCTATGTCTGTGCATGCGACGGTGTCGCGGACCGCGAGCCGGCTGCTGCCCGCGCATACTGGCGACGACGGTATGCCGGCCGCTGTCCGCGCATGCCGGCAGCGCGAAGAGACTGCGGGGATCCGGGGCGGGCGGGGGGCGGGGAGCGAGCGGAATGGCGCCGCAGTTCAGGTGCGCCAGTCCGCCGGGCCGGACCTTCAGAGGCGGGGCTGCCGACGGAACGGCGGGGCACGCACCACTCAGCGCCGCGGCGGCTGCGGACCTCGCCAGACCAGACCAGACGGGACCAGGCCGCCAGCAGGTCCGCCGCTTCACTCCAGCTCACCGCGCGACATCGCAGTGCGACTCGCGCTGGGTCACCGCGCCCAGCGAGACGCGCCCCGCGGACGGCCGCCTCCGTCGGCGGCTGCCACGCCTCCCCGGCTGAGCAGCTCCACGCAGGTCAAGGTGCCGCCGTCACTTCGCCTGACCGCACGGAGGTCAACCGAGCCGTTCCGGTCACAGCGGAAGTCATCTGACGACCGGCAGCGGCGCGAGCTGCCGCCATGACTGCCCAGGTGAGTACGATGTCCGTCTGGTTGCGTGCGGCGGCGGCTTCTTCGCAGCGGGAGATCCCTGCTGCTGTTTAGGACGGCGAGGTGAAAACAGACGAGCGCTATTCTCATGCAGGTGTCACCAAAACATGGGCGAATGCTGGTGGCCATTTGGGAACCCGTACAGTAAGTTCTTAGCAATGTTTTGAAATGTCTTTCCTCCATGAGCAAAGCAGGCAGACATTCGCATCACAACTTTTCCACGTCAAATTCACTAGCACTGGTACAAATTGACCGGCACTAGGCTGTCAATTTATTTTTGCGTTTTGATGTGCGAGTTTTTGGTGACTGACAGAAGTATTGACAAAATAGCAGTTCTTTTGGTGGGTATTAACAAAATTAATGATATGTCGGTGTCGTTTTAAGGGCACAAGCGCTCAGTCTAGATCGTACACCCGGACCGGGTCCAAAAAAAACG